CAGAAGAGCCGAAAATATTCTGAAGTGCCCACGATGGAAAAGGCATGATGCTTATGTGTATGTTGGTTGTCGACTTTGCTTTATGGCAGAAATAGAAAATTATGCCGAAGCTAAAAATAAAAGGATGATGCAAGTAGTCGTTGGAAGGAATTTAAAATGTTGGCTTGTCTAACGGTCTCTGAAACCATTTTGCCCTAGTCACCGAATCCACGTTATCGTGTTGAAGTCATTCTCGTCAGATTTGATGGTGTTTCTCGAGTCTCATACCCACCAAACTGGAGGCCATGACGACGAGTAGAGAAGCCTACATGTCCCAAGTGATGGGATTTTTGTGCTTGATTGGCGGAGCGCTCTTACAGCGGTGCGGCCATAAGAGACTGCGCTGACTCGATTCGGCCAGTGCTGCAGAAGTGGAGTTGTTTGGATTTCGCGAATCGAACCGGACTGCGTTACTACTGTTGCTTGCGTGAGTAGTAGCATGCGACGAAGCGTCGAGAGGTCGCGAAAGACGACTGGTGGTCCCGACGAGCCGAGAGGTCGTCAGCACCGGCAATGGCGTCGGTCTTGGACCCGGTCCGAGGCGGCGAATGGTGATGGCATCACTGAGCCATTCGGGATGGATGACGTAGAAACCGTGCCGGCCCAAAGAGGCTGGAGTTGTGCGAAAGAGACCGCCATCGTAGCTGAAATCCGACCAGCCGGATGGCAACGGTCTACCGGCGGGTGTGGGCGGCGTCTCGCCACGGTACCGCGAGATCAAAGGGGGCGCCCGACTGCGTTTGTTGCACGTCTCGCCCGGCAACACAGGACGACAACATGTTGATGCAGAAACGGAAGCATTGAGGCTGGACGGCAGACGATTGCGTTGAACTGTCAACTCATGCAAGTCTCTCCGACCGGCCACTCCGAGCGCCGACTCGGCCAGAACAGGTTCTACAATGGCCCATGGCGGCGGTTTTATGGCGCCACGAGACTGAGCCGACATTCTGGAAATCGGAGCGGCCGTGGTCTCTCTCCAAAGACGCAGTGCAGAGTAGCAGACCTGCTTCGGCCAGTGTCTGTGGGATTGGGAAATCATTGCCGTGCATCAGTGCAACTGAGAGGAGTGTGACAAAAACCACATTCGATTGTCTTTCTCCTCCCCCCCTCTCTCCCTCTCTCTCTTTCTCGTTATTTCTCTCTAATTCTTTAACTTTCTCCTATTCCCGCTTTATTGTGTTCTCTTTCTGAATCTGTAAATATGAAGAGTAACCAGGTTATGCTGAATTTCTTAACATAACATTGCCATGAAGACTTACATTTCGTATGAGTGTAGAAGATGAAAATATCCGTTGGCAGCCATTTGGCTTTAATACGACCTTTAGGCTGATTCAGTCCTACCATATTTTCACCTGTTTCCATCAGAAGCAAGCCTCCTCGATTGCGTCAAGCAAAACAGCTGCAAAGCAACACAAACCAACCGACACGCGAATCTTTTCACCATGAAATTTTATACCACATCAAAGTATCAAGCCTTGATCTTGTCTTATTTCCTCTCCCTCTTGCCATTACTCTATCTCATTTTGGTACTTTTTTATTTCCCTCGCTTTCATTCTCTCGACCTATTACATAATATGTATCTCTTTATCTACCTCTATGCATATTTGTACTATTATCTCTCTCTATTTCTCTCAGATTCTCTCTTCATTATTCTCCACCTCTCTATCTCTCTCTCTTCGTTTTAACTTGTTCTATATCAATCCCTCTCTCTCTCTCTCATACTCTAAATGCATATAAATTATATTTAACTAAAAATCCTAGTCACCCTAGGTCACATAAGCTGCTAGACTGACAGAGAAATTTTCCCAAAGTCAATGAGTAGTTGAGCCTACTTCGATTTCGAGTGAAAGCGTTTGGTGAAAAAATTCT